TTTTTTTTTTTTTTTTTTTTTTTTTTCCTACCAACCAACAATGCCTTCAAAGGACTCTCTGTTCCATATTCTGTGCTTTCTCCTCTCCCATAAGTTTGTGGCTAGTGTTTGCTGTTAACAGTTACGATCCAGCACAACTGGAGCAGCAGATGGCAATAAACCTTTCACATCCAGCTTTCACCTCTATAAAGGAGTGAGTTGATGCCTTGAGACATTTCTCGATATTCGTCGATATCTTTCCCATTGAAGTGTGATTTTCCCCATGTTTTCAGAAGCAGTATTTACAGCGTTTCAAACAGCTCTACAGGGAATTACAACTTTTTTCAACATCAGTTTTACTGGAGTATGTGTGATTAGAGTATTTCTGCTTCTCAACTTGAATGCTCATTTCAAATGCATGCATTTTGATGTAATTTCATTTTGCGAAATGATACTCTCTAAGAAAACTCGGACACCCCCTCCTCAAGATCTTTATTCTTCTACCTCCAGAACATACTGTATTTAACTTTCAGAATACTGAAGACAAAGACAGTCTGACTTCTGTTCTCTATTTTGATTTTATGCTTTGCTGTGTTAGATATACATGTCATATAGCTAACTCAATGATACAGCTGCTTTCTACAATGATCTCCTATAGTATTCATCTTCTTTGGGAGCCAGTCTATTCCCTCATTGCATAATACATCATGAAAATGGTGATTATTTAAAAGGAGAGGATGGGGCCTTGTCCCTTGTAAGTGTTCATGAAGAATATTGTCAGTTAAAAAAGCAAAGGCTTTTTTTAGGTGGTTTTCTTTAAAGAAGGAAGAACAAAGGTGTTACAGGCTTGAAAAGGTTCTTACACTTAAAAAAAAAAGATACAATGTTAAGACATGCATGGATTGGTTGATGAGAAGATTGAAAGTCTCCATGTTAGAATATTTGTCTGGAGCTTGGGTTTGTCTGATTAAATCTTTGGCTTTTTAACCTGCCAGTTATGCCATGTAGTTAAAATCTAACAAACAGTATTTCTCATGCTCTATTTCTTTTAATTTCTGCTTATACATAAATTAAAAATATTTTTGCCTTTAGAGGTACTTTTAACCTTCTTTGACATGAAACTGGCATGTAAGATGCAGTAAGTAATTTGAATTAACTTAAAATCTGTGTATTTTCAATGAAGTTGTTAATGTGGGTTAGTAGGATATTGCTTTAAACCAAGGTACTTGTTACTTGATTAGAGCAGTTCAGAACACACTTCAGTCATTCCTAAAGTTAATGTTTAATTAGGTAGCCTATTTATTTTGTTTGCAGTTTGTATTACAAAACAATAAACCAGTCCTTTCACAGCTATAAGGAGTCGCAGGCCAAAACAGGCTTTACATTAGAAAGCTCAGAATCAGCAGCGAGGCAGAGACCTCAGCAAGCAGCTGAATTAAGATCGTTCTCCAAAAAGGAATTCTTAGGAGGCTAAGTGTTGTACGAACTGCCTACACAGTATGTAAAGGGGTGGGCGTACCTATTGCTGTGGTGTATGTTCCTCTGGGCAAAGGCAGACAAGAGCCCGTAAATACTTTTTGTGAAGGAAACAAGTTTTTGTTGAGTTAAAGATTACTTTCTTGGTTTTTAAAGGCAATTGGGGGTTAATTTTTATATGTGAACTTAAGCTGGGCTCCTATTCCCTGGAGGAGATCTTCTTTCCCTCTTACATTTCATCCTCCTTCCCCTCCACCTCTGCCCCCAACCACAGGGCTCTTAACCACAGCTTAAATGAGTGGGCACGACTGTACTCCTTAATTTAATGATGGTATTGACATGGAAACAATTGTGACTTCGTTCGTGGCGCTCCTTACGGAAGCAAACATGGGGCTAAGATGTTATAGCCCCTATTGCAAAGAAATCAAGGTAAAGTTACATGTTCAAAAGAGTAGGAAAATAATTGTTCGTATATCTGTCAAAGCCAATAACTTCTGTATGAAATTCTCATCCAAAACAAATAATTTATAGAAATACTAACGTGTTTAAATATAATATTAATAATACTGTCATCCCAGCATTGAATGCTAGGCGGTGGACGAATTACTTTTTATATTATTGTTGAAATAAGGTATCACTGGCCTCCATTCTTCAGTTCCATGTTTGTAACTGGATTCTGTCTTCAGAAGTGCCTGAATTTCTTAGGCCACAGGGGAGTTTGCTGTGATCTCCTGTGTGTGCCACCACAGCCACCTGACCGAGCGCGGAGTGCCAGCATTCCTGTCTGACTGTGCCCCGGTTCGGTGAGGAAGCAGAAGGGTTAGCTGGAACTGCCTCGCTGATTTGCTGTTTGCGTATGTCACTGCCTTCTGATTTTTTTTTTTTTTTTTTGCATTGGTGGAGTTCAAATCACGCTTTTTTTTTTTTGGGCAGAACTGCAGAATTCAGCTCACTGGTAACGTGTTTGTACATGCAATTATTTATTTTATGGCCCTAATGGGTGTTGTTGCAAAAGCCAAATGTGCATATCTTACAATTTCCATGTGTAGCTGACTCCCGTGACAAAGGACTCGTGACTTCTTGGCCAATTACTTTTTGTAATTGGAGAAGAATTTTTCCCTTCACCACAAATGAATCAGGGTTTAGTGTTGGAGATTGGAGTCCCGCTTACTGCTGCAATCTGCATGCAAGGTCTTGCACATTAATGCTCTTTTTGAAGATGACATCTAAAGCTCTAACAATTGTGCTATCGATGGACCTGAATTAATCAGACAACCTTATTAACTTATTCTTTTTAATTACATGTGGAGGATTTTCTCAGTAGTTTGGCCTGTTACTTGGGATCATTTACTTTAATATTACTTTTTTATGATCAAAGCGTACTACTGAATCCCATGGCCCACACAGGGCTTGCTCAAGCTTATCCATTCTCAGAACGTTGTTGTTCATTTTATGAACTGGGGTTTGTTCCAAATTCTACACTGCTCTGCATTAGAATAGGAGCCGCAGCAGTAGTATGTTCACTTTTCTACTCCGTATCTTAAGCAGCAGGTCTTTTTGCATTGCTTTTCCCTGGGCCAGGGCACACCCTTGTTTTACAGTAAAAAGGGTGTTGGGTCAGGTGAGCTCTTCAGGCCCTCGGGTTCAGTCTTGTCAGTACTGATTTTAATACACAGGACACACAAAAGGGAAAAACTTTTTTTTTTTTTAATTAACCCAAACCAACAAACAGAAACCTTTAAGGGTATTTTAATTGTAAACCCATGGCTTGTTTCTTTTAGGAGGGAGTTTAATTTACTTTATGCTTTCAGTTTCGTACCTTTTGAAATTGCCTCACCTCAGTCTCTCTGCCTTCCTTCTTATAGCAATCATGCAGTTTTAAAAGATTTTTATCAGACAATACACCAGCAGGAAGTTGAACCGTGTCGTTGCTTTGGAAACAAGAACTAATGTGACAGAAGTTTGCATGGCTTCGCATGAAACATCAATAGGCGAAGGCTCTCTGCCCATACGCAGCTTAATTTCAGGGAGTTGCACGTTCCCAAGCAAACGTGTTGCTTTTCCCCTTGGCTGGAGGGGGGACAGGAATTGGGTATGCTAATTCCACAAAGCTTGCCGTGCCGCTGTGGTAGTGGGTTGTACCAGAGAGCTGGGCTTGCTACGTGCAGTCGGAGCAGGCAGTGTTTGTGTAGCAACAGCTCGCCCAGCCAATCGGGGGGGGTTCCTCCGCTGCAGGCAGAGGAGGGGGGGATGATGTCCCAAAGCTTTCACTCTGGTTTGTGCAATCAAACGTGGTTAAACCAAGCCTTTTCTGTTTAATCGTTTAGCTGTGACCTGTATCTGCCAGGAAAAGGTTCTGTATTTCGTCTTCCTCTGCCTTTCTGTAAACTGCTCTGCAGTGCCAGCTGTACAGTGTGGCTAAGTAAAATGTCTGAATTTCCGTGCGCCCATTTTTCGAGAGGACTTAGGAGACAGCAAACAAATTTTATTAGCGCTTACTGCAGTTTCTCAACATCCATTTTGCTTAATGAGGCCACAGCAAAGGGCGTCCTGGAAAGCTACTGCATGCAGCAGAGCATAACTCATGACGGGTTGTGGGCCACTGAACCGCAGGCAGTGGGCGCTGGTACGAGAGGGTTTCCGCTGCTGAGATGGCGGGGGCCGGACAGCTGGTGCGGATGATACCAGCAAGTGGCCTTGCACTGCAAGGAAAGGGGGAGAGGTTAAGAATTAATGCAAGTTAGAAAAGGTGGTTCTGAGGAACTGAGCTCTGATCCCACCTCCCGGGTATTTAAGACAGCTGGATGCACTGGGTAATAGAAATGGGGAAGGAAGGGATCTCTGAATCTCCTGTCTACTCATGTTTTGAAACAGAGGAAAACCAGCCTTTTACTCAACTTAAATTCGCATTTGCAAGGCAAATTAGTAATTGTTTGTCCCTCCTTCCATCTCCACCCCAATGAATCAGATTTGTTTGACAATCTGGTATAGCAAGCAGCATCTTTGCTTTGGTGACAGAGTCCAACCTACAGTAACAGCGGTTAAGTTGCAGGGAAGATACACATGGCATCTCTTTAAAAAAGACAGGTTCTCAAACACAGAGACCCTTTGTGTTGCTGCGTAACTTGCCCTGCTGTTTCTGACAACTCCCGGAATTTAGCTTTATGGTATTTCATATCCTGTAGTCTTGTTTGCATTTGTTTTTAAAATGCTGCCTTACCCAAAGAGAAGAACCGATACCCTGCTACTCAGCTGTCAGATTCAGATGCAGCTGAGGATGCAGAGCTGCAACCACAGAACAAAACACAGTACATTTGGGAAACATTTGGGAAATGAGCAGTCCCCTGTCCAAAGGATAAGCTCACTGAAAGGTTACGTGTGGCATTTCCAGCACTTATCTGAAGAAAGGTAGAACCTTTATTTTGCTCAAATGGTCAGTATTAAAATTATCCCTTGGTAACTTTTTTGCTTAAGAATGTGGAGTATCCTCCGTTAAAAGTTACAAGTCCTTTGCTCTTTTGATTTTGTAAAAACAAGTGTGCAAATGCTGAGCTTATCTTTTATTCTCACGACTAGAATGTCTGTGGGGGTTTTTTTCACCTGAATGTCCATGCATGTTGCTTTTGTAAGGCTACGGTTTTACCCGTGTTATTGCAGTTCTCATGAGGCAAGTTAGGAAATGGGCTATGTGCTGAGCACTTGTTGAATGACTCTTGTAAAGAATGCTCTGCATTTTCCTCCTGCGGAAAAGCATGGTATAGTCCGTTTAAAAAAAAAAGTCATCAAGTGGGGAGGTGTAACCATGTGTGATATATGTATGGTGCGTAGTGTACAAGGCCACAGAACACAGCTAGAAAGGAAGCTGCTAGAGATGCAGGGGCTATGAACCAGTCAGCAGTCTATTAATTAAAAGTGACATTGATATGAAATATTTACCACTTCTGGGTGCCACGCAACAGCAACTGTACATGAGGGAATTACACAAATGTGCTGTGGTACGTTTTCAATAATACACAGTGAAACTAGCCCCTAAAACTAGCTTTTAGCCTAGTATCAAACTGGAATGCTATAATATTCCAGTAGTGTTTAATTATAGTTTTTCTTTTTGGTAGATGTAGTAGGTTCTTGGGTCTGCTCTTCTGACGGGTGTATGTTTCATGGACTTCCATATATATTACTAAGACATGTACATGGTTGGAGATGAGCCTTTTTGCTTTTTAGGAAGCATGGTAGGTAGTTGGGTGTTCAGAAAAGATCATTGACCAATTAGTCATTCCTTCCATCTATTTGTTCTTGGCAAGAGAAGAACTTCTGTCAAGAAATTCAAAACTTCAGTGTAATTGGGAGGGGAGAAATAAGACGTTGACTCTGTTGCTTTCATTATTGAAAGCAAATAACTATTCCACAAAAAACCAAAACAAAAATTCTGAAAATTAAGGTGTCATTTGGTAGATAGAGCGTAGTCCATGAAATGTGCGGAGTTAGTGCTCTCCCTGTCTAGGTTCTACTTCCAACTCTTGTGAGCAGATACTAGACAAGTATCCCCAGGAGAAATGCTATATGGTTTAAACCTCCTTGTTGTTTTGCCGATGTCTTTTGCTAATGATCTGCCAAGCTTTGCAAACTAGGGGAGTAAGTCCATGGAGGCCTAGATGGTAGTCACAGCAGATAATAAGTAGCACATGAACCTGTGCTGATTCTTTCCAACAGAGAAGATCAGGAAGGTCAGGATATATTCCTTACATCCCACTCTGGACTGTCAGTACGGAATAATTCTAACCTGGTAACAACAGCTTCTCAGATGTGTTGGAAAATTGACGTTGACTGAAGCAGTCTTGCAGGCATCACGGGAATACAAATTGGTCATCTCTTAGTGGTGCAAAACAGTAGCACAAGAGAATGGAGACTGGTAAATTAAACCATTGCACAGGAGGTTTAGTTTGGTAGATCAAGCTTTTAGCCCATTTGTTCCTGTTAACCTCTTTCTTTCCATCCTTT